GTTGGTGTATTACCAGCGTCTCTTGGGGCTGATTTTCAAACTAGGTTTCCCCCCTTTGATGAACAACTCGTTCAGTGTGTCACTATGAGGATAGAGGGAGCGAGGCCAGTTTTGATGCCCTGTTGTCTTTGATACCATTTTGTGTTGGTTCCCTGGAATTAAAATGAAAGTTGCTTTTCAGCCTACAATGCTTCCTCTGTTTTAAGGTTGAAAGCAGCTCTTCTGATGAGCTGAAGCTTTGTACCTTTTTGTAACATGAATTAGAGGGCTGGTAATTGGACTTGTTCTTGTGTGCTCCTGTGCTTGTGTCAGTGTGTACGTTTGTGCTTACGAGACAGATGTGGGTGCCAAAGCTCAGAGTCGCATCAGAAAGCTTCTCAGTTAGGTGCTGCTGTGCATGTGTTGTCTTTTTAAAGTGATATTTGTTTGGACAGATGTGACTTTTGTGGTTTGTTCTTGGTCAGCTTTTAGTATGGGTTGTCATGGAGCTGTCCACGGTGCTGAAGTGGCCAAACCCCTAGTGGTGCTGCTGCATAAACAAGTATGTTTTTTTGTTTTTTTTTACAGTGAACTGTAATAATATGATCCCTTAAATCAATGGTTCCCGGCCAGGAGCACTTAAGTACCCCAGGGGTACGTGCTTACGAGGAAAAGAACACCCAAATAGAGTTACACATTGCTATGAGGCTTATTTTTTATAAAATTTTGGTCAGAATTTCCAATAAACTACACAGCTTTCACCAACCTGAGTCAGCGTAACGTGATGTGATTGAGAGAGACAGAGAAAGCAACAAGTTCTGGATAAAGTGTTAAAAAGTTTGCATGAATATTCATGTAAAAGGATAGACAGTTGATAACACACAATTCAACTGGTACTATCATTGAAGCTCAGTATTTAATGATGCTTAACCATTATTTAGCCCCAAAGAGAGGATATCAGGCCATGCCCTCATGAATCTTGAGGGTTCCATAATAAGCAGCACCATTGTTAACCATAACCTAAAATGCACAGATGCTGATTTCATAAACTATTCTCCGATCTTAACTTCATGTATGTATGAGAAAGTCTCTCGACTCTGACTTTACTACAAAGTATCCCTGAATTCTTTCCTCACACAACCAAAGAGCAGATACAGAATAATATTTCCACTGTATTTGCTTGGTTTATACGTTTTATATAGTTAACCATGTCAAATAAAGTAACATCTAAATGAATATATCTTTATAGAGGGTTATGGGTGAACTTCAGACCAAAAAATGGTTGGGAGCTGCTGCTTTATAAGGTCGATTCACTCAAGTTTTAAAATCAAACTTATAAAAATGCTGTTAATGGTAAAAAAAATTTCATTGGGAGAAAGTTTAAATAACTTTATAGTGTCTTGTATGGACTTTCCACTTTCTGGAAAGAAAGAAAGCTTTTTAAAAACTTGTTCAATGCAGTGAGTACCACAAGCAAAATTTCATTCACATATGAAATTTTAACTTTCACAAACTGATGTCACATCCTGGGTCCAAATCTACCGTAGAGGTCATACTGTACAATAAAAAAGTGATTCTATACAGAGTTTTAAAAAAAAGTCTCACCCCTTCCAGATGTCAGAGCTTTGGGTCTGCTACAGAATAGCCTAGTGTTGCTTTTTGTAATGTTGGTGACAGATATTAATGCTATGAAAAAGGTTTTAGTGTTTTGTTTGTTTTTGGCTTTTGTTTGGCTGTTGTTGTAAGGGATCTCCTGTAGTGTTCATGCCAACCCGTCTCTTTAGGCGTCCTCATCACCAGTGCCATCACCATCGTGCATATGCTGAAAAAAAATCCTTTGATTCTTGTGAAGCAAATCAAAGTACTGTAGCAGTGAATCCCTTTGAGACTGGTCAACATTAAACTGGTTCAGAACACACAGTCAAGCTTTAAGGACAAAACTTGCACTTGTATGTTATTTAATTGTTCTTTTAATCATGCGGTTAGTTTTCCTGTATGAGACAAATGTCCTCTGACTTTTGTATGGGTTCAGCTGTTCCCGCTTATTCATTTGTTTCTGTTAATGGCTGTTGTCCAGCATTTCGGATATAATGCTACAGCAAAAACCTCAACACCAGATAGTACTTGTATGTACTGAAATGATAGATACAACATGTGCATCCCTGCTTTTTTTGTGCACTGTGAACATCATCATTCAGGTGTTTAGGCTGATTAATAATATGAGAGAAAAACCTAGGTTTGCTTCAATAAATGCTTTACTTGTTGGCTGAATACATCTCTACATGTAATAACCTGATACCAGTCATGATTAGTCTTTTTGGCTTTGTTGTATTTTAAGTGTATTTACATCATTACTGATATTTTGTGATACTAGGATTTGTGTGTACGAGTTGTCAGAAAGACAATAAATATACAGTTTCCTGTTCAGTATTGATCTTGACTAATAAATTATGTATATACCTGTTTATACTGTATGTAAAAACGGTTTTCTAACTTGAAAGTTGAGCAACAACCTGTAGATGGCAGTGTTTAACAGTTTACTGTTCAGCTTTGAGTCAGTCCAGTCTACGATTTACCCATAGGTGACTCAAACAGAAGGCTGTGTTCAGTACACTATGTTTGCACGTTGTCTAGCAGGGCTAGAGATTTATATGTATTTACTGTGTCGGTTAAATTCATAATTTCGGCCAAATTAAGATGATGTTTTTATAAAAAGTGAATTGTAAGTACTGTAAATGTGCACTTATGTCTATGCACTGATTGAAATATTTGTATGCAGTTAAACTAACAAAACATCCAGTAGCTACAGGATGTTTAAGATCATATAACAAATACACTAGTGTGAGGCTTAGGAACTGTCCGTCTGGGGAAGAGTTGAATAAGGGATTAATGTATCATTTGTAAAGTAATGATAAATTAATGCAGTAATTAATCTGTTTAGTGTCATCTATATAAAAAATGTTCATTTTAAAAGTTAAGGGTTTCATAATCTTTGAACTCCTTCAGAAAATATGGAACAGTTTGTTACATGTTGCAATAAATAAATGTGTGTGTATGTATATATATCACTGTTATTTTGATGAAAAGAATGAATGCTGAAAGGCTTCAAAGGCAAGTATTTAATTTTTCCTCTATTTGCATGTAGTTTGCAATTTGATCTCTGCTTTTTCCATCATCCAATCTTAATA